TATATATATATATATATATATATATATATATATATATATACCATTCATGATGTCAGAAAAACATGTAGGTTTAAGAAGTCTTAAACCTTATAACCAAAGCACTTTCAAAAGGTGGACCTTTCTTCTTCAGAGGAAACAATATCATTCTTATCTCCTGTAAACTTGATGATAAGGTTATTTATCTTTCATAGTACTGAGTGTGTGTGAAAGCCCACAAAGTACACACACCATATCACCTACTTTCACTTATCTATTTATGATTTACAAAACATTGTCTTAAAAGTGCAAAAATAGACTCTCCATTAGAAACTGGACACTAAGAAATATTCCATAGTGTCTACTGCTCAAAATTTATCTGTTTTTACACCTTAAATAAATCAGCTCAATGTCTCTTTCTGAGATGAATTGATTAAACGAGCAAACTGGCTCCATGTCATTAGAAATATGTTTAGTAATAATTGAGACCAGGCATACTAATCAAATACTTTGGCCATGCATGCTATGATTAAATACAATTCTATAGATTTAGAATCATCACTAGTAAAAAAAGATTAAAGTTAGGATATTACTCATATGTTTAAGATTACATATTGTTCTAGATGTATAATACTGTTTGAGGATATAAAATCTACCCTATCATTAAGTATTAATCACACTAAAACATTTTATATTTTAATGGGCTTACTTAAAAACATATATATGATAATGATACTCTATTTATTTGGAAGCATTAAGATTTTCCAACAAAAACTATAATAAAACTTGTAAATGTAAAGGTGAACAACTAATATAAGTGTATGTGTAACTTAATACAGTATTCCACGGTATCAATTAGTGCAAACTATATATTTAACCCCTACTCAAAGACCTGTTCCAGTGCCTATTTAAATGTTTTCTCTATCACCATCATTTTGTAAGTGACTTTTTTCAATTCCTAAATGTTTAAAATGGATAGTTTGTATTTTCATCCCACTTTTTGTTCATTGAAAACACTTGTCATGAATTAAGTTTTCTTCATTTATTGTTAATTTATTCACATGATAAAATTGAATATTGTTAAATGCTTGCCCTAGTTTTCCACAGATGTTGTTTACACTATCTCACACTCTACCTTAACAATGTTGCATTGGCATTTAGCAAAACTTGGCAGTCATGAAGGAGAATCTTATAATACAGTTGAGCTTTTTGCTAACAAAATCTAAACATTACAGCCATTACTATTCAGCATTCAAAATAGCCTACATTTCTACAGTGCTAGTTTTCCTAACCTATTTACCAAAGTAATGATGAGGCAAACATCAATCAGGGGCCAACTGAATGTTCTAGTTTTCTTAACCTATTTACCAAAGTAACGATGAGGGAAACATCAGTCAGGGGACAACTGAAAGTTGTAGTTTTTTTCTTAACCTACTTACCAAAGTAATAATGAGGGAAACATCAGTCAGGGGACAACTGAAAGTTCTAGTTTTTTCTTAACCTACTTACCAAAGTAATAATGAGGGAAACATCAGTCAAGGGACAACTGAAAGTTCTAGTTTTCTTAACCTACTTACCAAACTGATGATGAGATAAACATCAGTCAGGAGACAACTGAAAGTTCTAGTTTTCTTAACCTGTTTACCAAATGATGTGGTAAACATCTACCAGGGGACAACTGAAAGTTCTAGTTTTCTTAACCTGTTTACCAAATGATGTGGTAAACATCAGCCAGCAACTGAAAGTTCTAGTTTTCTTAACCTATTTACCAAATGATGTGGTAAACATCAGCCAGGGGACAACTGAAAGTTCTAGTTTTCTTAACCTGTTTACCAAATGATGTGGTAAACATCAACCAAGGGACAATTGAAAGTTCTAGTTTTCTTAACCTGTTTACCAAATGATGTGGTAAACATCAGCCAGGGGACAACTGAAAGTTCTAGTTTTCTGAACCTGTTTACCAAATGATGTGGTAAACATCAGCCAAAGGATGGTTGACATTCTAGCCTTCTAAGCTACTTAAATCATGCAGTGAATGTAAACAAGAGAAAGTTCAATGTTTTAGTCCTTCAAACTATTTTATAGAATACTATGGTAAAACATAATTGAAAATTCTTGTCTTTCCAGCTATTTTAGTGAATAACATGGTATATATTGAAAATCATATTTAAATTGTTATCTAGATCATCCTAGACATATTAACAGAAGATTTCCAGTTTTTCTAAATGTTTCAGCTACACATGAAAATTAGTTGATGATTCTTGCCTTTCAAGTTATTTAATCAAAAATATACTAAATATTTAGACATTTGTATTTATTATCAGAACTATCCTACTATCACTTTCCAACATTTCATATACTATGGTGAAATATCTCATGGTACTTAACAAACGTGTACATGTTACATCAACACAAAATACAAAACTAAATCAATATGAGAATGTACACCTTCCTCTTCTGGTTATCGGAATTATTTACAACTGAATAATCTACCAGTAAACCCGTTTTAAGATAACTTTCTGTTGGTGAACCTGAACTGAAAATATTTGTATTATTTGGTTTGAGATCCAAAGGTTAAAAACTATTCCTGAGCAGAATTCCACTGACTTTCTGCTGACAGAGATGATAAAGGAGATATAAGCAGCAAATACAGAACTGATAAGAAATATGTTCATGTAAAAGATACAGTGTTTCTGATAAAATAAAAAAAGTGTTAGAAAAAAGATTTTGGAAAATTTGTATGTAAATAAATGTCTTAGCACAATTACCTTGTTTAACCATTCAGCTCTCTCTGTATCGGGAAAATAGACCTGTATAGAAAAAAATGTTTTAACACCTGTACAGAAATAACTAAGCTATTAACACCCATACAAAAAAGACATATAAAATGTTAACCAGTGCTTTTTGTCTGGGAAAAAGGTTACGGAACTCTCGTACATTTTCTACAACTTTTTCTAGTTGTTACTCTCATCCCACCCCGTGAGCATCCCAATCCAAAAGAGTCCCTCTTGTGATATTTAAATATTCAGTCTCAGCTTAGTTGGCTGTGTTGACTTAGAAAACCTGAAAAAAGCTTTTAAAGTAATTAATAGACGAATTAAATAAAAACTGACATCTAATATCTCTTATTACTACTATATGGTATTGTAAGTATGTTTGGAGGCCTTTATATTAATTTCTGAAAAACACGGAGGGGTTTGGACCACCCCAGATCTGCACCTACTTATACAATATTAAAATAATTCAATTAACTTCTGAAAAAAAGGGGGGTATGAGGGTTTGGACCCTCTCCCCTAGATCTATGTCTGCTTATCTAACAGTTACTAGTAAAAGTTCTGTTGTACAAACAAGAAGATTGTGACAATAGGGGTTAACTGAAAGTTAAACAACAAAGGCAATGCAAAAATCCTGCAATTTTCAAAACAAAGATGCAATATGAAACATATCTGAAGATAAGCAGTGCCAAGGAAAGAATAAGTCTTTGTTGAAATATGTTGGGAATTACTGCACATGAAGGATGTGTCACCCTGCTGCTGGTGCTATAATCTAATGATGACTACATCATAGGCTAACATAATATACATTAACACTTGTAAGGGTCGCAAAGCTTGTGACATGCACAAAGATTTTCACAGAAGTTGCACAGATAATAACCCTTTGTTATACAGAGAGGTGAATAAACATTTCTGAATAAAGTTATTTCTATCTAATTATCTTTACATCACTAGTAAGTATGAGTACATTTCAACAAAACATCCTGTCTTGATTTACAAGATTTGTTCCTTAGCTTCACTATGATGTATCATCATTTTTTTAACCCTTAATTTCTGGCTTGATAAAAGTGCTGGAGATTATCAAACATGAACAAAGTTATTCCTTATTTTAATGCAATTCAGATGGCAACTCTAATCCCATTATCTTGATAATGCTGGCAAGTACGAGTATGCTTCAATAAAACCTTGTATCTGGATTAATGGGATTTTGGAAAACAAATAAAGATTTAAAAGGTACTCATGATCAATCATGTATTTTCTGATCTTTATCTCATGTAACTTTTGAGGTATGCAGCAGTAAAATAAGCTCATGGACAAACTATGTGTACAAAAACAAATGTGAAAGAAAAATATTTGTATTATAAATAATATTATTACTGCTTTATTTTTAGGGTTTATTCACACTAAATAGTCTATATAAAGATCATTTGAGCTACAAATGCTGAACTGATAAATAACAACATTCACATTAATTTCATACATACAATTATAAAAAAAATAAAAACAGCTTTTATACTGCTTATTTATGTACCAAATCTGACAGAAGACATGTCTGGTAAATAACATAAAGATGGTATATGTGAAAAAATACATATTCTTACATTACATACACATTGTACAGTGTCCATTCTTCAACATAATGTGAAAAAATAAACACATTCATACATTATGTAAATAATGTTCAGCATCCATTCTTAAACTAAAATTTAACATTTCTTATTTCAATGAATTTAAACAAAAAAAAATACAAATTTTTTTAACAATTATTTGATAAACATTATAATTCTCAACTAGAATTACAGTTGATAATTGTAAAGTTTAAGTGTAAAAATAAAAAAAACATTAAAATGAAGTTCTAAAAAATACTAAAACCTTTAAACAAAACTATTTGATGAAATTAGATAAAATATAAACTTATCAAAATAAATATAAAGTTTAAAAGAACTATTTTATGTAATTAGATGAACAGAATGTGAACTCTATTAAAAATTTAAATTATATACAAAGCCCACCTACCCATGTTGGTAGATCTCCAAATTTTGCTGAAACTACTCCTTTTTCATTATTGGCTACACTGTGATGAAGAGCTGTACAAATTATTTTATCATTCAAATAATTTTCATGTGCCATCCACAATAAAACACCCATTAACAACCAAGATGGGCTAAATCCAAACATTCCTAAGATATATGCTCCTCCCAATACAACAATATTTTGTAAAAACTGACCCAAAATTGCCTTTTTTTCTTGCATTTTTGCATTTGCCTGTCCAGCCTCACTGGGTAATCTCTTACTGACAGATTGCTCATTTACTACTGACATTAGTTATTTTATAGTTATACTCTTTTAATCTTAATAGTATCTTTGATAAAATTAGTCTAATATATTGTTGTGATAAGCTTCAGTTGGATTTAGAAAAATCTTACAGGCTTAGTTTTGAGGATCATATACATAGTTTTAATTTTACTCACTCTAACTGTGAGTGTTACTGCTAGTTTACTGTTTTAGAGTTAACTTCAAATCTTATGTGACAAAGGACTAAAGTTTAAACTCTTACGTCTTAAAAAGTCCAAGATTCATAAGAACTTAAAATAAAAATACAAATTAAAAGTTAAAGACGACCGTTAATTACGACTTTGTGGCACAACTTTTTAAATTTAGCTTAACGTTCATGTTTCTGTCGTACTGACACCTTAAGACTTAAGCCAACACGATGAAAAAAAAACCCACTAAATTTAGTACATGAATTATACCGTTGCTACAGTAACCTATCAGTAGCATCACAGACTCTCTTTCTCTTATCTGCGTACGAAACGCGTACTGTCACCAAGTTTGTTTTCGGCGCTGTTCATCAAACATCAGAACGTAAATTATGATAATAAAAAAACATAATACCATAAAGATTATTTAGGGCTTATGCTATTATTTCGCTTCATATTAAAAATATTTAAAGGCAATGAGTCTCAGTCCTTATCAAAAATACATTTTTTAAGAAATACAACCTCATTTAATATTATTATGTTAAAAATAGCAAACAATATGTGTGATGAAAAGATTGATTATTTCAATGATAAATTCACTAACTCACGAGAATTTTAATTCGATCCAATTGAGATATATTTTGCACTACTCTTTAATAGAAACACCAAGTAAAACTGAATTTTCTCACAGGTATAGTGTAGGTCTCTTGTTACTTTTCTCTTTTCCATGAAAACCCAATACATAATGAATATTTTTATATCAAAATTTTAATATTTTTTCACTATTGTTACGTCTCTGTTCGTTTGTTAAAGTGTCTGTGGAAATTAAGTGTATTGCAAAGTTGTGTTGAGAAAGAATAACTAGTTTTATTTAAGAAAGAACTTGTATCGCTGAAATTTTTTGGAAAGAATTTCTACAGAAAATTAACCAACGACCAGAGACGTAACAAAATAAACAAACACTATTCGGTTAAATAAGAGCAGCCCAAATTTTTGCAGGTTTCTGTTGACTAGCTGTTTTCCCTCTGATAAGTTCCAAATTAAGACGATTATGACAAGTTGGCCTTTTGTGAAGTTTTGCGCAAAAATTCTAAAACAAAAAATCAACTAATAGCTTGTAGAGTTGGAATATATAATAGTTTGCTTTTGCCTTGTTTCTCAAATGTGACGACGTTTCAGTCTTTGTGCAAAAATTCGAAATGCTTTTCTACTCAACAAAAAAGCAAGAGTAGCCCTTTAAAATTTTAAATTCTTAACTGTCTACGCGCGCGAAACAAAACTTAATAGCTTTTCATTTGTGTTAGATATTATTCTAAATACAAACAAGTACAAACTATGTATTGATCGGTTTGTCCTTAGTTAAATCATAAATAAAAATATTGTGGTTATTTTAAACTTTGTAAGTAATAGCACACTCGTTATGACGTTCAATGACGTATGTAACAAATAAACAACGGGAATGTTAGTAATACGCGCGCATGTTCGTAATGATGTGGTTTTGTTAGATGCGTTAGTTTTCACCAAACTAAATTTAAAACTTTATTATTATAAGAAGTTCCTCAAAAGCTTTGTCATTTTTAAGTGAAACGCAATAAGGTAAATAACTGTGGTATGTGAGATGTGCTTATATTTTAATTTTATATCGTACATTAATTACTGAGATGTAATCAAGTTGATGATAGTTTTTTGGAAATGCATATCTTTGTGCTTTATTATTAGGCCTAAACGTACTGGTGTAACGGAGGTAATTGAGGTTGAAATTGAAGCTAAGCCTAACGCGTCTTGTTAAAGTTAGGCTTAGCTCGTTGTTGATATACACCAAGTTGTAACATGTAGTCAGTATTGTAAATTAACTGTAACTTTCAAACCCAAATCCTCTGCTATTTAGCTGTTCTATGTACAGCAAAACATTAGCCAGTTCTTTGTATAACTCGGCCACGAAGTTATTTTTAATATGGTGAAGCCGGTGATTTATGCAAAATATAAGTACCACTAAGAACTAAAGTAGTCAAGATAATCATATAAAATTATAATTATGATCCAATGACATAAAATGTATAAAAATTATATTGTTCTTTACATTTGTGTATTTCATCTGTTTGAACATTGTCACTGGGCATAAGACGGAGCTGAAGTACAAAGGTGGAAAACTTCACAATGAGTATTGAAGTGTTGAATAATAATGTTCATGGGGAAATTTCCATTTCTCGTGCTTCACATTGTAATACTAATAGTACTGATATAGCAAATACATGGAAACTTGAATTTTATAAGTTACCACTTGGAACCAATTTTTACATTTTCTCACAATACTCTTGTAAACACGCAATTTGAAATGTTTTATGTTCGTGGTCTATCATTATTACTATTAGTAGTTCTAGTAAGGTTACCAGATGTCCCAGGAAAATAGAGATTGTTCCAGGTTTCAGAGAGAAATCTAATTATCATGGACTTGCTGCTCTTCAACCATGAACAAGACAAAAACATTAGTTACTTAACTAAAACAGTATCTTTGATATAAGAATGTGCTTGGCATATAAAGAAGCATAATAAACAGAAGTCAGTAAATTTTGAAAGAATGCAATGATGTGAATATGCCATTATTTATCACTCCATAAAAATATCAGATATTTAGCTTTCAAATTCTGTGGTTTTATATTGTAAATGTTAAGTACAGCTGTTACATTTTTTATTGCACCAGTGATTTAAATTTAAAACAAAGTTCCAGTTTTTGATTTTAAAAAAATGGCATTTAATAATTAACCTAGTGAAAGTATTATTTCAACAGCAAACATTCATAAAATTTACCTCCCTTAACCAGACCCATGTTTATATGTAAAAGGCTTAAGTAAAAAATTTAAAAGCTTGTAGTTTAATAAAAGAATTACTTTGTGAGTGTCCTTGGCAGTATAATAATTATTTTCCATACAGTTTTATCTTTGCAAGTTTGAATGCTAACTTTAGTTTGTTTATGAGAATTGCAGGATCATAGGTAATGGTTGTTTTATTGACTGTTAAATATTTGCAAACTAAAAATAATTTTTACACTGTAATATCTGTATTCTGAATCAAAGTATATTCTGACAGAAATTACTTGTGTTATGAAACTTTTGGTGTTGCTTGAAGCATTCAGATGTGACAAATGTGGTATTTATATATTGGAATGAACAAGTGATGTCTACATGAACTTGTATATCAGGCTATAAGTAATCAAAGGAATACACATGTAAGTATTTGTATATTGAACAAAATAAAGTGTTATAGGAATTAATTAAAACTGTTATTTAAATCAAATCAACACCAGTAACCAAAGTGTATATAGACTTAACTGAATCTAACTATGTATTGACATTTTTCACTTTTATTCAGCCTTCTTTTTTTCATTACTTTGGCAACTAATTGTTATAGTAAAGATCTAATGAGTTAAAATTGTTTGGGATAATAAAGCTATTATAGTAAAAGTTAATTTATGGTTTGGTGAGTAATTTAATCATAAATCCAGTGACTACTTTTACATGTCACTGAAGCCAACTTACTGGTTATAAAAGAACATTATTTTACATGTCACTGAAGCCAACTTACTGGTTATAAAAGAACATTATTTTACATGTCACTGAAGCCAACTTACTGGTTATAAAAATATATTATTTTACACGTCACTGAAGCCAACTTACTGGTTATAAAGGTATGTTATTTTACATGTCACTGAAGCCAACTTACTGGTTATAAAAGAACGTTATTTTACATGTCGCTGAAGCCAACTTACTGGTTATAAAAGAACGTTATTTTACATGTCACTGAAGCCAACTTACTGGTTATAAAAGTATGTTATTTTACATGTCACTGAAGCCAACTTACTGGTTATAAAAGTATGTTATTTTACATGTCACTGAAGCCAACTTACTGGGTATAAAAGAATGTTATTTTACATGTCACTGAAGCCAACTTACTTGTTATAAAAGTACGTTATTTTACATGTTGTATGTTCAGTTTGGTTAAATGTTGAAATTTTAATGTTAACAAAACAATTTTTAAGTGCAGAAAGTAAGCTGTGTTCAGGAGAACGTCAAGAGTACAACTTTGAAACATTGAAAGTAATGAAGCAAACAGAATGACAACTAACTCCCCAACTTCTGCTGATGCCTGCCTCAGTATTGTCCATAGTTTGATGTGTCACAGACAGGGGGGAGAATCCGAAAGTTTTGCCAAAAGAGCGATTGAAAGCTTGGTGAAAAAACTCAAAGAGAAGCGTGATGAACTTGATAGTTTAATTACTGCTATCACGACAAATGGAGCCCATCCCAGTAAATGTGTTACCATACAGAGGACACTGGATGGAAGATTACAGGTATCATAGGAACTGTTGCATTGCTAACCAAGTAAATTGTACATGATTTAATTATGTTAATTTCTTGCCAGTATTTCTTTTCATGTCCTTACAGATTTACTTAATGTTTTGTGTATTTTTGTTATTACATTAAAACTAAATATGAGAGTGATCTCACTAACAATATGAGAGTGAATCTTTGTTCAGTTGGCATGGTGATGTGATGATGTTTAATAACTGTTATTTGGTTTTGGTTATTTGTTATTAAAATGAAGCTGGCAAAAGTTGAAATATGCTTAGGGGATTGTAAATTATGAAGATTTCATTGGTACTTTGTATGGTAATGCACAGTCATTTAGAATTTCTTTTAATCCTATCTCTACGGGTCTTCTTATGGTCACGGGTCAAAGGCCGTGTCATCATGTTTGTAGACTCGCATTCAAAATTTTATTGAAGTATTATTTTATGAATATATGTCAGTAAGTTTGGTATCATATTGTAGATTATAATTCGAAGTTTAATGTGATCTATTAGCTAATTTGAAAGTAAATATTAAAAATATAATCCTAAATATCAATTTTTGTGTGTTACATTGTATGTTGAATGCAGCGTTGGTTCAAATTAGATGTTTGTTATGTCCAAATACAAAGTCTTTATTTTTTTAAAGATAAGAAACTCAAATTACCGATATTGATAAGCTATTTGCTGAGATATCACAATGTTTACTGAATCAAACACAGTGGCCCTGCCCACCTCTTTCCATTTTTGTAAACACTAGCTGATGTACACCTACTTCTGTCTACAACGTGTGAATAACCAATCAAAAGCTCAGAATGTCCCTGATGTGGTTTTCTGAGCCTTTGCAAAGTATTTATGTGGGAACCCTTTTCATGTCAGATTTCAAATGATAAGGTAAGTCTTTAGTGAGCTCGAAATTTCATAATTTCTTTAGACCCAAATACAGCTTAGTTACTAAGCTTGATAAATTATAGTGGAATTCTATGGTATTGATATATTAATTTATTATTTTTGGTTATGTCAACAAAAATATATATATACATATAAATAAAACCTAAAAGAAATAATTCTGTTTCACATCCTCCACGCGTGAATTTGATGAAGCTTAGCAACCTATGGCAAGCAGCAAACAAGTTCAAAGTTTGAAATAGAAAATATCATTATTTTCTATTATTCTTTATTTACTGTTTTATGTTTCAAGAAAAATAACTGAAATTTAAGAACTGGTATGTGACTGTATTTTACAAAATACTAGTCCACTAAAACACAGTCAAGACAGGTCACTTTGTAAAGGCCAGTTTTATATTCTTGGATCCGGTAACATGAGTGCACATGCATCACATCATTGCAGCTTCAATAATATTAGCCAGGCACAGCTGTAAGGTCAATATATAAGAAAATATATATAAAATAATATAAAAATAATAAATAATAAATATATATAAATGTATATTGTTATGAAATTTAAGCTATTTAGACTAAACATTTGTTTTCGTGTTTTAATTTTGTAGTCATTCTAGAATGAAAAAAAGCATAATTGATATCTATTTCCTAATTTTTTATTGAGGTTACAAAGTTATTCAAATTGAACAAACCTGTACAAAGGTACAGTAGTGAAAATAACAGATAAAATATAAGGTTTCTTTCTAAAAAAATTTTATATTTATCTAGAGGTTATAAAGATTTTGCATGTGTTAATTTGAAAATGTTC